GAAGGTTTCCTGTCTGTAAAATGATTTAATCTGTATGCTGTTGAGGATGCCGTGGGGCTTTCCTGTGCTGATGAATATTCCTCTCAGGAAATGGGAGGGGAGGGTTGCTTCTCAACCCTGTGAAGCCTAGGGATTTACAGAAGAGGAAAAGTGACAAAAAGCTACTTCTCCAGTAATCGATAAATAAGTGGTGCCCAGTGGTGATGGCTTGTCTATGGCATGAAGACAGCCCAGTTCTCTGGTGTGCTGTGATTTTTAGCATTTCTACCCATGCCTGGGCACCTCTCCCACCCTGAGGAACTGGGAGGTAATGGTGTTCAGAAGGAAGGCCCATGGTGTGGCTGGTCTGTCTGATCTTAGGCAGGTACCCATCTAATCTAGGTACCAAAAGGAGAGCTAGTGCAAATATGAAGTGAAACTGAACATAGTTATTCTGAAATTTCACTAGAGTAACTGAGAGTAGCATCCAGCCCACTGGGCCTATGCAACTATCTTTGGTTATCTCTAATCTACTATTTCACACATGGCTGTGGAGGTGCTGGGTGGGAATGCATGGTAGAGCTGCTACATCCATCTCTCCACTCAACTTCAACAAATGGGGCCAGACACTGATCACTTTAGTTATTTAAACAACCTTGCTGGTCATCTGGGTTATGGTTCACCTTTTTTGTCCCTATTACTCTGACTTTATCCTAGGTATCTTTCAGATTATAAATTCTACTAGAAAGTTAACTGAGATAGGCAAAGGGCTCCTTCTATGAAATGAAAGTCAGCACCATGGGGTTGTTTTAAGGAAGGACTTGCAGGAAAAAATCCTGTTAAATAACAGCCTCTTGCATCTGTTTGTACATGCTCTCCAAGCTAATTGCAGAAGTTTCACATTAGCTGCTCCTGCACTAGTTGACTGGTTGTTTTTTTGGGGGGGGGGTTGGGTTTTTTTGGTTTGGTTTGGGTTTTGGTTTTGTTTTGTTTTGGGTTTTGTTTTTTTGGAAGAGGAAGTAAGCAATGATGCTTGCTTAAAACAACAGGGGAATTTTGGAAAGTAATCCCAATCCAACCTCCAAAATTGTTTGGTGTCCAAGGGTGTGTACTGACTGGTAAGTGCATAATAGTAGCTGTGTGTTGCCAACACAAAATTTAGCCCATGTGACCCAGCATGTTGGAATGTAAATGTATACAGCACCTTTCATGAACTAAAATGTACAACCATCTAGTCCTCTAAATTTATGGGAGTGATTTACTGTAGCAGAATGTTTGTGTTGTGAAAACAAGAAAAGAGGGTATGCATCTCATTCTGAAAGCTTTTTATATTTGTTAGCACTGTAACGATCTAATCTTGTGGTAGTGTAGGAGTGATGATATAGTCAAGATGGTTGAAGTGGAAAAATGAGAGGTAAGGATTTTGAGCGATACCTTTAATTGGAAGATCTGAATAGCTGGGAGGGACGTAGACAAAAGTCTGTGGGTATCACTTTGGCACCCAAAGGCTTGTCTATGTCCCTCCCAACTATACAGTTGGCCTAAAAGATATCGCCCACAAATTCCTATTTTTTAATTCGTGACCAATTCAAAGGTTTGAGGAGTAGATGAGGCTACAACTTGCACCCATAGCAGTTCCTAACAAATTAATAAGTAGACTCGGGTTCTAATGCCTGCCTTGAATTACTGCATTGCCTCTCATGAGATGCATGGAACTTAAAAAATATTAGTATTTTCTTCAGTTGTATGTCACTTTTTTTAATTGGTCTTTTTCTTGTAATCTAAAATAACATGTAACCTTATCTTTCCCTCCTTCCCTCTCTTGCTGTAGTTTTCCCCTATCTAATAAAGGTATTGTTCCACAGATGAGTTGAAAGGGAATGTGTAAGGCAGCTACAGGGCAAATAGGGATGCAAACTGCACTTTTCAGTATTGTAGCAGTAGGACATACTATGAAGGCCAATACTATTTTTCACAGTAGATCTTTGTTCAGTATTCAACATTGGATGCAGGAATTGCCTAACTGTTAATAAATCTCTGAATCTGTAGACGCTGCAGAAAGAAAGCAAGAGAGATTGAGTACTTTGATATAATTTGGTCTCTTCATCTTGATGCAGCACCACCTGATGTCTCCTTGGAAAAATTTGGTTTACAAAATAAAGACCAGAAGGGATTCTGACATAAGTGAATATTTCTGACTTTTGTTCAGTGTGGTGCCTGAGGCAACACGGCTAATAAATGAAGTTTTTAACTTGACTCGATTTAGCTACTTTACATGCTTTCTCCTTTTTTAACCAGTGAAATTTCAGAGATACTGCATTCAATTAGCCAATTATAATGTTCTAATTCAGGGCTGTCCAACTGGAAGCCCAAAGGCCACATCTGTCCCGAGTTCCTGGTCCAGGCACTACTCCCCAACTCCTGGTCACTACCTACTGCTGTTGCCAAAGCCTCTGGGCCTCCCCTTACACCTCCAGCTTCTGCTTCCTGCTGCTTTTCCTGGAGGATGAGACTGTAGAAATAAGCCATATAATTACTGCAAGTACTGGGGAGCGGTGGGGGGGAGCAGTCGCATCTGACATTCTGTAGAGTCTTGACAATGCATGTAATGGATGCAGTTGTCTGCATTTCACACTTATGTCATCTTTCTAAAAATCTTGTTTCCCAGGTGGGTGTACAGTTATAGCTACCTGTGATACTGCCTTGCTACTTTGGGATATTAGGGACTGACACCTTCCTAAGCTTGCCTAGCTATAGAGGCTTTGAATGGCTGTTTTCCCATGGACTGTACCGTAAGTAAAGTATTATAGAAAGAGGCTTATGAGGATGCGATTTGATTTAAATAACCATCCTCTGTATTGTGGTAGGTATTGTGAAAGTGTTGTGTCACCATCCTCCACCCCCATAGTATGTTGACCACCCCTGTTCTGGACTACCTGAAATGTGCATGCCACAAGTGGCATGAGCCACCTCTGTGTGGAGCACAGCAGACTGGGGAAGGAGCAGAGCAGACAGCACAGTGTCAGAGCAGGGAGTAGAAAGTTAAAGCAACAGATGGGGCAGGGAGCAGAAAGCAGAGCAGCTGATTGGACAGGAGAAGGGGATCTTAGTGGCACTTGAAGGGTGTTTTGGCATGCCTACCAGAAAATTTGTCCCCCACTCCTGGAAGTCATCCTCTCCCAACCAATGGAAGATGACTGGAATCCCTTTCCAATAAGGGGCTGCTGTGTTTGTGCAATAAGCCCTTGAGTTGGGTCCCATGGCCTGGCCGCAGATGACAGTGCTTTCCCATGGGCTGAATGACCCACAAGTGGTGGCAGCAATCCCTACGGTTGCCGGAGGCACTGTTTTATCATCACTCTGAAACACTGCTGTCATTTGTGTACCCTCCTCCCCTTCTCCCCTCTTGCTTGCCAGGTTGGATAATGGGGTGGTAGGGAAGGAGTGGGGATGCAAGCAGCTTTTAAATGACTGAAAGCCATGCTGAAAACAGCAGCTATGAGGATTAACACTGATGCTGCAGTGATTCTGGCAGGAGCAGCAATGAGCCTTGTTGGCCAAGTCCAGTCATCAAGCAGTCATGTGGACTGGATGGCTTCCATGGGCTAGTTATGGCCTAGAGGCCATATGTTTGACACCTCTGCTTTTTAATGTATTAATTTGATGTTAAATACAAAATCCTTATCTAAATGAATAGTCTGTTTTGCCACCTCCTTCACTGCTGCACCTGTTCCTGGAGCCCCTCTCAGGATAGTAGTCACGTTCTAGGTACAAGATGTATCAATTCGTTGGAGATGACAGCTTCTGTTTTTATCCGTTTCTCTGAGTGCTTTGTCCAAGTAATCCTCTTCCTAAATCGGGTTGATTGAGAACTGTTTGGCATGTCTCAGGCAGTTAAGCTGTAGGTGTCTGCAAGCTATTTATAAGTCCCAAATGAGGTTAATAGGTACACATCAGATGCAAAAGAGTTGTCCAAAGATTATTTAAGAATATGTTGGATGTTTGCCATTTGCTGTTATATTGGATTAGACCAACAACTTCTCCCAGTGCTTGGGATAAAAGTTATACTTGTTGAAAGTCAACAGGACATAGGCTTTTAAATGGCTTAAGGCCTTTTGAAATCTTTGCTCTTTAGCAACAGCCGGTACTAGATGCTTAAGTACTGGAGTGGAAAGATGCAATAAGTCTGTCTGCATTCATATTTCCTCCTTGTTTTTTTGCAGCCCCTTCCTGCAGCAGCACGATCTGCCAACCAGCCACACCATTGTGGCCCTTTTACTAGATTAGTCCTTAAGATCACTAGGTCACTGTGATGGGATGTGTCCCTTCTCTTGCTTGAAAAGACTCTGTTCCTCCAGCTGTGGGTGCTGGTAGAGAGCACACAGGCTGCTCCCTTTTTGTGTAGGGCTGTGCACATGGCACACTTCTTTGTTCTCTCTTTCCATCAGCCATTATCTTGTAGCTTGGAAAGGAGAGTGGCAGCATAGCAAGAGGCTTCTGACCCACCTACCCTTCAGTCCTCCACCTTTTGAGCTCATGATTATATTTGCCGTAATGCCTTAAATGAGCTTCTAGATTTTATGTTTGGGCAGTATCTTCATCTTGATGTGTTGCATCAGATCACACTTGGGAAAACTGATGTATGGCTGAAAGGAAAACAAATTGCATCCTTTTGAAGGATAAATGTTCATTTATTTTCTTGCACTTAACTGTCTCTTAGCTTTTTCAAAAGGACATTTTGAAAAGTTTAGCTTTTTAATTCTGAGCTTCTAGCTGAGCATCATATGCCTCATACTAATCCTCGCTCAGGACTGCTGTATGAAATGAACTTTTCAGTGTTGTCTGTCACAATAATTTTTTTTTTTTTGCAGTTTGTGCCTGTAGATCATAACTTGCTCTGCCTCCATAATACTAACTCAGAAACTGCCCTGATGGCTTCTATTGTATATTAAACAAACCTGCATCCACTTGTTCTCAATCTGACACTATCTGTGGCCCTTTGTTTTTCTTTTTCCTTCCAGTGAAGGGGAGGGAAGGAAAAGGACTTTATCTGTGTGCAGCAATGACTCTCTAAATGCCGCCGGGGTCACTCTCACCCCCCGCCGCATCTCTTGGCGGCAGCGGATCTTCCTGCGGGTAGCTTCACCAATGAACAAATCTCCTGCTAAGATGCAACACCACCCAGGTTTGTCTTTTTTAAAGAAAACTAACTAAATATACACTATTGCATGTTACTGGGCAAGGTTGTACAAAGGACAGTTTTAAATGCAACAATGTGCGTACCAAACCTTGGTTGTAAAAAATGTCTTGTCAAGATAAATCTTGAATATTTTTATTGTTTTGGACAGTTTGTCTGAGGAAGCGAGCTATTTGCATTTTGTTGCTGTTGTTTGTTAAAGGTGAACTGCAATAACTGGTGGGTTGGGGGGTGGTTGGGTTTTTTTGAGGGGAGGAGGGTTTAATCAGCAAAAAACAAACGAGTACTCTTTCTCAGTCTGCAGATTTTGTAATATAGCCTGCTTGTATAGGTAGCTTACAGAAAATAAGTTAACATTTTGACAATTTTCTGTCCTTAATGGTCTATACTGTAAACATTCTGCTGCTTATAGTTGTAACTACTCAGCTTGGTAATCAGCAGCCATCAAAAAAGACAAACGAAGTTAGGGATAATTTAAAAAGGGAATTGTAAACAAAACAATGTATCCTTATGCCCCTTTATAAATCCATGGTGTGTCCACACTGTGAATACTGTGCCTGTTTCTGGTCAGCATACCTCAAAGGGTACAGAAGAACTAGAGAAGGACAACAAGGATGATTAGTGGTATGGAGCAGCTTCTATAAGAGGAGAGACTAAGAGGCTAGGCCTATTCAGTTTAGAAAAGAGATGCGTGAGAAGGGACATAAGGGTTTACAACAAGGGCAGGCAAAATACGGCCTGTGGGCCAGATCCAGCCCACCGGGCCATTCTATCTGACCTGTAGGGCTCCTCTAAAATTTTTATTACCTGCTGGTGGCTGCCTGTCTTAAAAGCTGACAAGGCACCAGCAGCAGGAGGAGCCGGTGGCAGGAATCGGCAGCAGCAAGGCCTACCTGGCACCACCCCCCACTGGCTGTTCCCCAACCTTCCCTCCATCCGAGAATGGAAACTCAGGGAGGGAGGGGTGGGGGAGGACCACCAGCAATCGCCCTGCTCTGTGGGGCTCTCAGGACTCTGGCTTCATGCCTCCATGTGCCACTCCTGGCTTGTCAGGAGCACCACATGGCAGTATGGAGCCAGCTCAGCCTGATGGCGTGGGACTTCCCGTGGCTCCTGGCACCCTAACATGCCACCCACACTGCACCACACCCCCCCTTACCCTCCACACACACAATATACAAGAGGAAAATCACATTTTGAGATATTATGAAATTGCCTCTAGAGGTACTATGCAAATGTACATAAATTGGGACAATTTAAAAAAAAATAAAATGTAGTAGATGTTTGGGTTTTTGTCATTGGGGTCTTTTTTTGTTTGTTTGTTTTGTTTTGTTTTTTAAGTGTGTGATTCTTTTTTTCCAGTTTCAAAAGACCCCCCCCCCAGGAGTACTTCTGGGGCAAGGGGAGGGACTTCTGATGGCAAAGGTCAGGGCTTAGGAGTCAGATGTCTGGTCCCAAGTTGACCAGAGGGTGGGGCTATCAACGTGGCCCTCGAAACCTCACCAAAACTCATTAAGTGTCTCTCCAGCCAAAATAATTGCCCACCCACCCCGTTTTACAAAATACCTGTCTCAGAATGCACACACTAAGGGGTAACAATGACTAATAGGTAGTTTAAAAGCTATCAAAAAAGTTTTTTTTTTTTTCACACAACATGTACATAGTGTGGAACTCCATTGCCACCATATTTTGTGGAAGCTGACAATTTTGCCGGATTCAAAAAGGGATTAGACACATTCTTGGAGGAAAGGGAGAGCAATAGCTATTGAGCACGGGAGTTAAGGGTACAGCCTTTGAATCAACTTCCTGGACCTTAAATTCTGGAAGTTTAAAGTGAAAGAGGAACAGTGGAAGAAACCCTGGTCGTCATCTGTTCCCTCTCCCTTTCAGCATCCACTCTGCCACTGTGTGACCCAGGATACTAGGCAACATGCACCTATGGTCTGACCCAGTAATTGGCAGCTCTCGTGTACTTGTCTATTAAATACATCATCACATATTTAGAAATTTCTTTTAAAAAAATTTTTGATGTGTCAATATAGCTCTAGTCACTCTTCACAACCATGGATTTGTTACAAAGGTACTCTTGATAGATCACACTTGTACTGCATGTTAGCAGAGAAAAGTGTGCATGTTTCCATGTAACCCGAGGTCAATTTCAGTTGTTAAGCTTTTTGACTCCTGGAAGTTTTCAAGCACAACAATACTGAATAGGTAGTGTCACTGTTAATGGGCCTCTTCATGTGAATTTTGTGAAGGAGGGAGTGTCTTGAGACTTTGGTTCTAACATTGAAGTTGATATTAAACAATGCTAGTAGGCCTACTTTAAAAACTAGTGCCTTTTGTTGAAGGTGAGAATACAAATAGCAGTATTTACTGTATGTAGCATGTCAACTATAATCTTTGAATTTCCAGTAATAACTGCGTGACTCTTTCAGATGGCCGTGAGGGGAATGAATTGTTACCCCTGTCTCCTCTTGCTCCACCCTTGGAGGAGGATCCTCTTATTCCTGTGCTGCAAAATGAGGATATCCCAGATAAGGCTGGAGAGGGGAAAAATTCAGAAGAGCTGCAGAGTCTGTGGAGAAAAGCCATCCATCAGCAAATCCTGTTGCTTCGAATGGAAAAAGAAAACCAGAAGCTGGAAGGTTAGACCCCTCAAAGAGGTGGTGGGGCTAGTTTTCAGAGATCCAAATAGCAAGTAGTTATTGCCCTCATCTAAAGTCTGAGCCAGTGCTACCGTGTATATAAAACAATGTGATGTTGCAGACAATGATTTGAAATATCATTCCATTTTTTGTCATTTTATGACTAAAATTGGCAGACCTATAAGTTTGAATTCTTGAAAATATTTAGACTTCCTTCATGAGATGTTACAAAAGTGTAACATTGCAGACAAGTACATCAGGCTTCCTTTCCTCTTCTTCTGAAACTACATGCATTTAGTTACTTTTATATATTAAGGTTCCTTTTTGTAGTAAGAATAAGAGATCCATTTCTCATAGTGGTTTATTGTCACTATACAACAGTGTATATCCTGAACGGCTACCTTCAGGGATGTCAGTATTCTGCATGAGATTTATTCCCCTGTTGTATTAATGCAGATTTTCTCTGCTACTTAAAATATGGACCCTTCTTTCCATGTTTAATTTCCATAGCATAATGACTTGTGCCATAGTGAAAAACTTCTGATGATACAGTGTAATGATGATACAAAGAAGTGGTAGGCCTCCAAAGTACTTAGTATTTCAAACAAAATGCTCCTTGTATTGTATGCGGCCTTCCATTTCCCACCTGGGAAATAGTTAAGACCTACATTTTCACAAATATTAATATTTTAGTTGCTTCCATTTTTTTATCATCATGTGAGCGTTCAGGACTTCATGGAAAAACTGGGCCATAATTTGTGGCCATCTTTGTGTAGCTAACTCATTTTTAATAATATATTAGCCTTTTGATGGTAGTTGTGACCTTTTTTTATGAAGCTGCTAATCAAAAGGTAGGAGTCAACATCCAGATGTATACATATAAAACTTCTAGAGCTAACTATATCTTATTCATCTCAGCCATTAAAAATGCTAAATGTGTTCTTGGTTTTAATTTAAGAAGTTACTATTTGTGGTTTCTAGTCTTGTCCTGTTGCAGTATTTAATCTTTCTGGAGCCTAGTATTATTTTGCATTATTTTATTATAGACTTCCTTTATCCTCATTTGTAAAAGTCTTTCTCGCCTCTTTCTCTACTACTTTAGTGCAGTGTATATTAATCAGGGCACAGTAAGGGAATGAGCAAGAGAAATATTGTAGCAGGAACTTTATACATCCCTGGGCACATAACAGGTTGCCTTTCCAGCTTAGCCCCTCTTACAGATAAGTATCAGCTGAGAAACTATGGTGGCTTGTTAGGATGTATAAGGGAATATCCACTAACTTAGTTGCTGGAGGATGGCTGACCAATAAAATCTTTTATTTTTGGCTATTTTTTTTGGAAGCTGCCGGTCTACATTTGGGGAAGAGAGAAGGTTTCTGCTACAGTGACTAGTTTCTCCTTCATATTCTTTGAACTTCTTCTGGGCCAGGATGCAAGTTGAAATCCAATACGGAGGCATTGCATGCAGTTAAATCCTATCTGACCTCTAAAAGCCCTGAGAATAAAATGGCTGAGAGAAGTAGTGTACAGACTACAAAAATCATAGAGCTGGTACTCCTCTCTTTTAGTTGATGTTTAATCCTAAATGCTCATTTTTGGTCACGTAAAGAGGCAATGAGAGACTAGAGTAATATGAATTTATTTAATGGGAGTCTAATTTTTAATTCAGTAGTTCTCAGACTTGTGAAGTTTTCACTAAAAAATGCCCTGCTGTAAGTGTAGGGAGCTGGAATATTACAAAATCAACACGGGGATTTTTTTTAATAGAGAAGCTTAGACTGTGTTTAATGTTGCACGAAATGGGATAATTTGACCTAAAGAATGTTTGTTTTTTCTGGAGATCTTGCCAACACGCATGTTTTGTTTTGTTCATTGGTTGAGATTAGTGTTGTGTTGATAGCACCTGTTTAAAGCTGGCATGCATTAAGCTTGGCCCATTTTTTTTTTATTTTTTTTTTTAAAGTGGCAATTGACCCTGCCATCTTCTAGAATTATAAACATAATTGCAGGAAAGACCTAAATTTCTATTGGCAGCCGGATTCTTTAACTGCGAATTCATAGAATTTTTTTTTTTTTTTTTAATGGATTTATTGCCTTGTTCTTAAGATTTGAAATTTTTCCCCATTTATGAAATGGCTCTCGGTACTTATCTACTAAACATCTCATCTTAGTTGTATTGATGATAAAAAATATTAACAGAATCTCTCTCTCTGTTCCTTGTGCTGTCGAGGAGACTTAAATGCTAATAGTTATTTGTTTTGCAGAAGGTAAGAATTGAAAAGCAACAAAAGAATACTTTTAATTTTTAAATATTGAAGGTGTAAAGGCTGCTCTCATTACACAGTAGCATAACATCCTATGGTAGCATATAACTGCATTTGTAGTTAATCTGGTTTTCTTTTGTTGCCCTTATTCCAGCTAGGTGGTTATGCTTGTGGTTTCTTTGGTTTCAGAGGGACTGGTTGTGGAGTCATAGTACCTACTAATTTGAATACAAATGCAAGAATGAAGCTCAGTGCTTTTCTACCGTACACCTGTCATGTTCTTGCATCTTAAATTTTTCAAACAGTTTTTCCTGTGAATAACAAATAATCTTTTTGTTATGAAGAACTTTACTTTCTTTTACAATAATTTTATGTCTCTTTGGCTACTTGGGCAACCAGTTCCAGGCTCTAGAATAGTGTTAAGTGCTTGGGGGATGGGGGCTTAAGTAGATGATCTGTCAAACAAAATTTTACCAAGTTTTCCTTGTTTTTCATTGAAGCATCAAGTAGTGGTTATTTCCAGAGCAGGGTGTGGTGGCAAGTTCAAGATCTGATCTGGCATTGTGTGGATAGAGGCCTTGCTGTTTCCAGCTTCAGTTTGTCACTTTTAAATTTGGCAAGTACCTGAGCGCTTCATAGGCAGAGATCCTATTTGTTTTTTCTCTGGATTGCCTCCCCTTCGCTCCCCGCCCCGCCATTTTGGGATTAACAAAGGTAACCCCAAATCCACATTTTTCCATGATTTTAAAAGGCAAATTTTTAACAGGAAAAATGTCCAGCACACCTGTGCCACCCAGCAGGTCATTCCCTAGGCTGTAGAAGTGGAAAGGGATGTTGGAGTCCTAGTGGACTCCAAGATGAACATGAGTCGGCAGTGTGACAAAGCCATCAGAAAAGCCAATGGCACTTTATCGTGCATCAGCAGATGCACGATGAATAGATCCAAGGAGGTGATACTTCCCCTCTATCGGGCGCTGGTCAGACTGCAGTTGGAGTACTGCGTGCAATTCTGGGCGCCACACTTCAAGAGGGATGCGGATAACCTGGAGAGGGTCCAGAGAAGGGCCACTCGTATGGTTAAGGGCCTGCAGACCAAGCCCTACGAGGAGAGACTAAAGGAACTGGACCTTTTCAGCCTCCGCAAGAGAAGGTTGAGAGGCCACCTTGTGGCTGCCTATAAGTTCATCACGGGGGCACAGAAGGGAATTGGTGAGTTTTTATTCACCAAGGCGCCCCCGGGATTTACAAGAAATAATGGCCACAAGCTAGCAGAGAGCAGATTTAGATTGGACATTAGGAAGAACTTCTTCACAGTTAGAGTGGCCAGGGTCTGGAATGGGCTCCCAAGGGAGGTGGTGCTCTCCCCTACCCTGGGGGTCTTCAAGAGGAGGTTAGATAAGCATCTAGCTGGGGTCATCTGGCTGGGGTCATCTGAACCCAGCACACTTTCCTGCTTATGTAGGGGGTCGGACTCAATGATCTATTGAGGTCCCTTCCGACCCTAACATGTATGAATCTATGAAACACCATTATACATATATCCATATATTAGTAGTGTTTCTTTTTAATCATGGAAAAACATGGATTTTGGGTTACTTTTTTTTAACCCAAAAATTCGGGATCTTTTTATCAGAGAAAAGCAGAATCCCTGTTCACAGCAAATGGAGATGTAAGATTTCTGAGAGAACCACGTAACGTTCTCACATAGTTTGTGGTAAACATGAGGCTTAAAGATCTATCACAGGTTCTTTGAAATCATGCAGTATGTAGCCCAGTCAAATCATGATCAAAGTTTGTGTGTGTGTGTGTACTCCAGATACTTTGTGTCCCCACCCCAAGGATCCATGTACTAATAGGCTCCCACTCATGATTTGAACCAGGCGTTCTTGTCACAAATCTTTGGATCCTCCAAAAATGTATATGCAGATGAGGCACAGGGCAACCTGGTCCTTTGGAAGGCAGGCCCACGCTAATCCTATGAGAGCAGGGGCAGCCGGGTTCTGTGTGAACTGTCTGGATGTTTGCTGTTTTGTGCTGTTTGCCAGCCATTTTGAGGCCGGTGAAGAAACGGGGACCATTAGAAATGGGAAAGAAAGGCACAGCTCAGCTGTGGAAGTGAAGAGGAAGTTCACTCTCATTTCCATACAGGAAATGTATGCACTGCAGTGGCTCACCATGACTTGGAAAAAATGGTGCTGAGGGGGACTGAGTGCAGTGGGCAGTACAATATCTTATTCAGATGGGCTGAACTAACCCATTTTTGTGGTGGGGCCATGTGTGTTATAGTCCTGCTCACTGTTGGCTGGATTTAATCAACTTCATAGTTGGTTTCCATTACTTAGTACATGCAGCTTTTTGGAGCAGTTTAATGATAGCTAATGTAATTAGCAAGGTTTCCTTGTATATGAATATATAATGGTATAGGGGGACCCCCCCCCATTCTATACTAACTAAAGGGGGGGCTAGGGGAGAATCTCATCTTGTATTTGAGTAAATATACTAATTTGTATCCTGTGTATGGCATATTGGCTGATGAAGTACATTAAATGCTTTGTTTCTGAGCTATGAATGTTTAGCCACAGAAGAGATCTAATAAAAACCCCTCTATCATCAGCAGACTTGGGGAAAATGCCTTTGAAATACTAACAGATGATACCTCCTTCCATTAATGTAAGTTTGAGTATTACCAGAATTCCATATGTTGCAAAATATTCATTTCACTCTGAAAAGCTTTCCAAAGTTCAGGCAGAAGGTAAGGCAGGGTGGCACTTCAGGGACTAGCTGTTTCAGAAAAAGAAAAGCTTTTACAGTATAGGGAAAAACCTACTTCATCTTTGGTGTCACCTTGCACTATTATGTTTGATTTCAAACCGATGCGGCTAAACATCTCTGGAGCTCAGATGCAGTTGGGAGGAAAGGAAGTGAAGAGCTGCCCTCCTGTCCACTTCCCCAGCTTTTTTTTTTTTTTCTTTCCTTATACTATCTGAACTTTTCTACACTGTTTTGCAACACAAATCAAATTGGCCCATAGTAGCATAACATAACAGTACAGGTAAGACTAGTTTTGTACAGTTTATCCATTAATGCAGGGCAAATTCTGTAGTAACAAAATCTATCTCTTCAGATGGACCTTTAGCTGCGTTGTGATCAGTGGTGTCTGATTATGGTCTAGTCTCTCTCATGCTCTTTTTCCACATTCTGTATTCCAGCAAGCAGAGATGAACTCCAATCAAGGAAAGTAAAACTGGACTATGAAGAAGTTGTTGGTACTTGTCAGAAAGATGTCATAAATATCTGGGATAAAAAGTTACTAAACTGCAGAGCCAAAATCAGATGCGATATGGAAGATATTCATGCCACTCTTAAAGAAGGTATGTATGTGTGATTTCGTTAACTGGAACATTTTGGGAATTGTCCATTTGTCTTTATCCAAAAAAAAAAAAAGCACCCAAAAAACCCTGTCAAAATTAAAACCAAAAAAAAGTATTTTGCAGTAAGAAAATTAATTACTTTTTACAAGAAGTTGAGTTCATGGTGTAGAAGAAGGAATAGTTGTACTCATGTGAGGTGATGTCTCTGAGTCATTCAGCTTGAGGGGAGCTTTATGCAAGATAAGAGCCTCACCTCTTTAGGCTGAAGAACCCAGTTCTTTGACTCGGACTGCAACAAACTTATAAACCTCTATAACAAATCACTAGGCAGTAGGGGCAGAGGACTACAGTGCTCTGTTATGGATTGCATGCTAAGGCTTGACTTGAGTAGTTCATTCTTTGCTTTGAGGAAAATTTGCTTTCAAGGAAAAACGCCTGATAGACCACCACTTTGTAGCAGCATAACCCTCTAGTTAAGACATCTGTGGGAACTGAATCCAAGATATCTGGACTTAATTGTTGCCTTGATAGCTTGAGCAAACGCACTGGATTTGTTACTTTGAAGTCAGTAGAAGATTCCCTCACTCTGTGGCTTAATTGTGAGAGGAACTCGGGGATACAGATGAGCCGCACCTCATTGTTTCCTCTTTCACATAATAGTCATGAATTTGGTGTGGAATCCCACACCATCAGTTTAGTTGCTCGAGAACTAAAAACTTACTACTGTAACCCAAATTCTTTATAATAAAGAAGTGAAACGTATTTGAAAAATAGAACAAAGGAAAAATGCCTCATTAATAAACTGTCAGTAAGCTGCAAAAAAGACTGAAAAGGAAAAAACTACTTACATAAAATCCCTTACTAAAGCCTCCTTTCTAGGATTTTATCTGGACGTCATTTGTTGACTTCAGGATCACTCTGTGTTGATTATGGTGAATCATACTCTGTAGTTAGCAAATATTATAACACTATTAGTTCTTAATGCTTTTTAAATTCAGCTGTAAAGGGATATTTTTGTGGAAGGTCAATAACAAACATCTTACAACTTTAAAATGGGATTTTCAAAAAGTGCTTTTGGAAATCTTTCCTTAATGCACATGGTACCTCAAGATTTAATACATGGTTTGAGGTTAAGCAGCATGAGCCCCTTATCTCCAGAAAATAAGTGTATCTTGATGCATCTCCTAAATGTACCACCATACTAGGTGCTGGCATACAGCTTATATACCATTCCATGTCAGTCCTCAGAATGGATTTAGTGCAGTCTGTATTTTGTGATATTAATATAGGGCAGTGCATGCTAACATTTTACAAAACAGAAGCCAGTAGCCTACCTGCTCAAATCCTACTTTATTTTTTTCTTTAAGGTGTACCAAAGAGCCGCCGGGGAGAAATCTGGCAATTCCTAGCTGTACAGCACCGTGTAAGACACAGACTCCCAAGCAAACAACAACCTCCAGACATCTCCTACAAAGAGCTCCTGAAACAACTGACTGCTCAGCAGCATGCTATTCTTGTAGATCTAGGTATGCTTGGTGTGGCTGAAAAATATTCTAAAGGATGTTTCACGTCTTTGCTAAGATGTGGAAACATGCTTATTTTGACCCAAATTTTGGTGGTGATTTTTAGTGTTGGCACAGAAATGGATGCTACTGTCTGTGAACATATGTTCTGTGTTGGTATCGACAGTGTGTCCTGAACTTCTATTGCTGTATGTGCAACAGGATTCTGAAAAAGCAAATTTACAATTGTTTGTTATGTTGAAAATTCACTGCAGCAAGATGGGGAAATGGGCTGGAATGGGGCAAGAGTGAGTTACAAACTTGAAAGATTAAATTCTTTAATGATTCTTCCAATATCAAGTCCGTGACAAAGCTCCCATTGATTTCAGTAAGGCTATGGTTGCACCTAAAAAGTGATGAGAACAAGAATAGGCCTATAGGAAAAGAAGAAAGAGTTGACTTCATGATGAGTGAGTAACTGGAGAGAGATGACAAGGGAAAAGTAAACAAAAGGGGAGGAGAATGAAGAACTTTTTCTTTGGGTAAAAAAAAAAAAAAAAAAAAACCCCCCCCCCCCCCCCAAGTATTATTTGCTATATAAATGGCATGAAATAGGATCATATTCTCTCCCTATCCTCCTCGCCACATACATGTTACTTGTCTTAGCTTTTCCCAGAGAACACTGCAGTTTTAATGTTTTTCTATGCACGTTATAAAGCATTTGTCATAACGAGCCCTGATCTTGATTTGAAGACCTAAGGCATTGGTAAAATAGAAATATTAAATGTTGTTGTAAGTAAGATGGTCCACTAAGACAAAAGCCCTAGATAAATGGCTGGGAGCCTCCACAGTGAATGAATAAGTCTGTTGTTTGCAAAGTAAGCTAAAGAGCTGGGCTTTGTTGCTGAAGACTGTAATGGATGGGGTTGCAGAACAGGATCCTTTATCTCAACCCAAGCCCCTAGAGTATCTATGGCATAACTTTTTGGCAAAATAAATGAGCTTTTAAACATCCCAGTACAAAAAGGTGAGAGTGCATGGGGAGGGCAGGTACTGGGGAGGGATAAGAAGGTATTTAACAAACAGTTTTACAGTGCTTAGAAACAACAGCAAAGGGTGCTTTTTAAATACTCAGTTTTATTTGGTACAACTTTTTGATCTTGCCCTGGTCAGAAAGTTTGATCAATTATCCAAACCCATTTCACAACTTTAAATCCATTTTCAAGAATATTTTCCTGGAAGGCTTGATAAGAGGTGGCGGGGGGGAAGCTTTCACAGCCTACAGATAGAGAGAAGATGGGTTTAATGGGTCCCTGTTCTCATACGAGAACTCAGAATTAAAAAGCAGGTTGACCATAAATACCTCTTTCTTACAACAGGAAGGACATTCCCCACACATCCTTACTTTTCTGCCCAGTTGGGAGCAGGACAGCTGTCACTTTTTAATCTTCTGAAAGCTTATTCTTTGCTGGACAAGGAAGTGGGTTATTGCCAGGGTATCAGCTTTGTGGCTGGAGTATTGCTTCTGCACATGAGTGAAGAGCAAGCCTTTGAAATGCTGAAGTTCCTCATGTATGACCTGGGCTTCCGTAAACAGTACAGGCCGGACATGATGTCACTACAGGTAAGTTAACCCTTTCTCCTGAAGTAAACCACACTTGAAGCTGCAGTGAAATTTCTTAGAGGCTGTCCTTGTGCTCTAGTACCTTGTAAAAGTTGCATGTTGTTAGGATGGGATGTTGCCACAGTAGGGAAGAAAGACATAGCTTTACTAAAGGTCACAGAAGTAGGGATGGAAGGGACATCCAGAGGCCATCTAGTCAAACTCCCTGTCCGAGGCAGGATCATCCCTATCAAAACCATGGCATACAGTCATAATCTAGTCTCTAAGGTGTCTGTATTTCTCCTTTGCAAATGTATGCACCAGCACTTAACTTCCCTTGAACCTTTCCTATCCAAACACCTAAAACTTACCTTTTGGAAACCTCATTTTGTTTTGGTTTCTTTCCTCACTGGTCTTTTCTTCAATACTCCTTTCTGTTCTTTTCCCTTCCTGATTTCCCTCACCCATGTTTCCTCCTGCCTTCTATATGTGGTAAAAGGAGTCTGGGGGGGGAGTGGAAAAGCATGGAAAAACTTGCTGAAGAAATATTAATAGAAAGGGGGGGGGGAAATAAGAGGAGCACTCAGATCCATTTCCCACAGCACCTGATTAGTGTTAACTTCTGATGTGCTTAATCTGCCTTCTTGTCCCCTAGGGTAGGGATTGCCAACCGGGGATTATGCGTACCCGTAGGAGTACTTGGAAAGGTCATAGGGTTCACAGGCAGGTGGGGATGGAGCGTCTCCTGGGGCTAAGCGGTGGCATCTTCCCAGCATGTTCCCACACATCACCTCTTTACCCAGTGGAGGGATGCACCGGGCACTGCCAGTCCTATGCAGCACATCCTGGCGCCTCCCTGCCCTCCCACCCCAGCTTGCTCTCCTGATTTTTGGCTGTCGGGCCACTGCCCTCAGTTAGCCAACAGCAAGAAGGCACCCCTCTGGGTGGCCACCACCCACCTCCCCATGCCGCTGCCATCTCCCAGGAGCCCATCAGCTCCATAGACTGCTAATGGGTGGCATGCAATTGGCCGGGTGCAAGGCCTGTCAGCAGCCTGTGGAGCCTCACGTGCAACCGGCTGCGGAAAAGCGGGTTGTGGCGGTGGCACAGGACAGTGGTGGTAGGCAGGGGTGACCAAAGAGTTGGATTTCAGGGGCCAAAGAGTTGCGATTTCAACACTCCAGCCACCTCACCATCGCATGTATTTAGTGTTCCCTCATTTTAAAATGGCAGCAGGGGCACTTTAACTAATGCTCATTGAATGAACATTTAGTTAAAGCACCCCCACCACTGTTTTGAAGCACAGGATGCTGACTACGTGAGACACTGAGGGCATTTTAATTAGAGCAGCTCCCAAGAACGGCTCCTAATTAAAACACACCCTCCACTACCACCACCACCACTCCCACTAGACACCCCTACTGAGAAATTTAGAAACTTAAGCCTTCCAGACGAATCTTCTTCAAACTAGCAGTCTGCTTAATCCAGTCTCCTGTCACTGCTGTTGCAGTGGCCGTTACAGGATGCCTGAAAAAGGAAGGGACAGAGAAAGATCATAGAAGGTCAACAAACATGTGCAGGTATCCTATAAAGAAAATTTAGTCCTAACGCTCATAAATTGGTTGGCTTATTCTTGAAGTGTGAGAGTTCTATATGCTAGTGGTTCTTAACCTCCATTAGACTCAAGGGCACCTCTTGGAAAATGCCAGCTCTTAGTTTTCACTCTTCCCATAGTCGAAAGAAGAAAGAAAAAAAAAAAGAGCAATTGTTTTTAAACTCGGACCACAACAGATTGGAATGGCTCTGACATCATGGATTCCTAATTGAAGTCTCTGCATCTATCTTGTGAATCATGTAGGTGTTTGCATGCCTAACAGTGCTAATATTGCATGACTCCAGTGGCACCCTTTAAAGGGATCTTATAGCACTGGTGGAAAATTTATTTTCTACATTTCCATTTAAAAATATCCCTGTGCGTATAACTCTATCTGCTTCTTTAGTAATCCATTCTATTTTAAATTCCAGATTAAAATGTTGACCTCAGTTATCTTGGGGCAATGAACTCCATATGTTTAATTATATACTGTGTAACATTATATTGCACTCAGTTGAAAGAAATGGCTTTTTTCTTGTGTTATGAGAAGTAGGTGGGAGTATCTGACCTACTTTTTCTATACTACTCATTTATTTTACATATACGAAGCAAACATGGGCTTGGCTTCATCTTCGTCTTTTGGACGATATTGGCTGCATCTCAAAGCCTGCATATCATTGGATATTTTGGGTGGTTTTAAGGTTCTTTGTAGTTGTAGTGTAGGCTGGAACTTCATTTCTTGGACTATTGTGCTATGGGAAAATTTGCAGAAGTCATACATGGATTATATCTAGGAGTAGTATATAGATTTTATTTTGAACAAGTTCCCTCCTGTAAACTTGGATCAATGGTGACCTCCAGTGGCCATGTAAAGTATTCGTAGGATTCTTACTCACCGTAACAATGGAAGTAAATGGCAGAAAAAGCAACATCGGAAATATAAACACCACACCTCTAACTTATTTAACTATCTACTATGTGTTTCAATGGAAACATGAAAAGCTAGGACTGCCAATCTAAACTGCCAAAAGAATTTTTTAGCTAAAATTGATCTGCTTTCCAGGATTGAGTGCCCTTGCAGACCTGTGGCTACAACTGACAACCCTTGCAGACCTGCGGGGCATTCTTTAATGTGAGATTAGAGACATGTTGGATTTTTTTTTTTTAGTACCTTGGACTGCTAAAATACCACTGTACTGTGGTACTTTTGAAATTTTTCAACCTGGTGCAGAAATTCCATTAAGTTTGAATTGCATCTTTTTGATGTTACATGATTACATTAGAAATAACTCATTATTGTGTTTAACAATCCCTGGAATTAAGGCAAGCAGTCACTTGCCTGAGAGTGTACATTACTTTAAATGTATGACAGATCACACTTTGATCTAATCTGATTTTTCCATTACTGGATTACCTGTATCAAGTTACAAAGTTAAATGCATGTAAAAATATATTCTAAACTATATATCTGTACATTTCACCTGGCTTATCTGGTGGTTCTGTGCCATAGGCGACCCTAATTTGTCTCTTTCTACAACTCAAAGACAACATTCAGGGTTTTATTTTTTTTTTGGTGGGGTTTTTTTTTTTTGTTCTCACATTATTTTTCACTTTGAGTTGTTTGAGGAACAGACAGGAAAATAATATTTCAAGCTTTTTAGAAATCTTTGGCTTTTAAAAAAAGTGCTGTTAAATTGGTCTTTCCTTTTTTACTTTTTGATTTGATCTGAGCAAAATCAACAGTAAGGGAGTTCTTTCATATATTTTTTCAGAAGGAATGTAAGACTGTGTTGTTCCTTATGAAATGTGACTCACATATTTCAAGGATTGTACCATACTTAGATGCCATGCATCTGTCCAATTTAATAAACGTGTTCCTTTTAAAGCACTGGAAACCTCAGCAACTGGTAGTAAATGTCAAAGATAGGCCTGAGGTTTAGGACTTTTTGTAAGTGAGAAATGAAGGAAGAGAGAAATTTAATAATGATGTTGGAGGTTTTTGTTTGTGAAACTTGAGTAGGAAATTGATAGCAATAATTTTAAGTCGCCTAGTAACTGTTCAAATAGAAAACTAGCCTTTTGTTCTCTACCCTTGTAACACAGCAATACATTGCATTGTGATGAACCTAAATTTGCCTGGACATGTCTAAGTAGGTTTCTATTATGAAAATCATACCATTGAAAATAGAGTAAGGGTGCATACAGATGTTACACTGAAGCTTGTGAGGTTAGTTAGATTGGGTGGCCATTTTAAAACTCTAACTTCATAATTAGATAGGTGCTGGGAGCACAATCTAAGGTAAGTCAGGGTAAGAGGAGGAGTGGGCAGAATGGGGGAGAGAGGGGATCAGGAAGGCTAGCAGGATCTTGGGGTGGGGCGGGGCTTGGTGGGCTAGCGGGATCTTGGAGGTAGAGTCCAGGGGGTTTGGGATTGAGAGAACTAGCAGTGTTGGTGGGGGGGAGACCTGGCAGGATCAAAGCCTCTTCACTCCCACCAGCCCACCCACTCTCCCAGCCTCCCTCTATCTGGCAAACTGTTCCTGGTGCCAGTATTCACTAATGCCAGGAGCCCAGTTTGAGGGCAAGGGTGGGGGGAAGGGTAACAGATCAGGGTGGCTAGCAGTTCTGCTGTGGAGGGATCAGAAGGCTAAAACTAGCCCCCTGTCAGGTGGAGCTGAATCCTACTCTAACTTAATTCAGTCGGGCTTGGGGTTATTT